TATGGTTATTGGACCAACTGAAACCCCTGATATTGAAACTTGTATTTCTGATCTACACAAACATTTACAAATGTTATATAATTATTATTCTAACATTGTTGATGCTTCTGCTGCTGTAGATGCAAATATTCCTTCAAGTTCAGTTTCAACATCACCATCTTGTGCTTTGGAGGATAATGATGGTGTTGAAGATTATTTGATTTGGTCTACACTAGAAGAGCATCAACAAACCAGTAGTAGTAACATTGATGAACTCCAATTCTACTTGCAAAAGTCACCAGAGCCCCGCATAAAGGAATCTCTACCGTTGGGTTGGTGGAGGAGCAACTCAAATCAATTTCCTATTCTTTCGGCCATGGCTCAAGACGTGCTAAATGTGCCGATTTCAACAGTCGCATCAGAGAGCTCATTTAGCCAAGCAAGGTGGCAACTAGGAGATACCCGTCATTCATTGGGCAGCAACGCTTTGGAAATTCTAGTGTGCTTCAGAGATTGGATAAGATCAGAACGACGAAATCAAGGGTGTGAAGAGGTAGATGAAGCAGAGAACCAAGAAATTAGAGATATAATGGTTTATGGTTCCGATTCAAGCAATGCCGGAAATCAAGAAACTCATGTTAACATGGATGAACTTACAAAAATAATGCAAAGCATATGATATACTNTGTGAAGAGGTAGATGAAGCAACTATAGAGTTTCCCTAACTCGTATGGGTGCCTTCGACACTCTTTTTGAGTCATCTAGGCAGGCCCTTGAGGTTGCCCCCAAGGTAGCTCGTTCTATACGGCTCGGTGGCAGAACGCATGGGGGAGGCAGGTCAGAGCTTTCATCACCTATACCCCCCTTATATATGCTTAAAATTAAAAAGCCCAAGTTGCCTGAGTAGACCGCTCTACGTCAGACCATCAGAAGGACCTTTTCTCACCAGTTCTGGGCCGAAATCACAACTCCAAAATGCGAGTTGTGACATCCTCCCACACTCATAATGTCATCGACCCCGATGACACATCATGGCTTAAGATATCCCGGAGTCTGCCCCCTTAGGTATGCCCATTCAAGCTCCCTTTGTCCTGTGGGTTGGACTTCCTCGAAGTCCTTTCTCAAAAGGAGTCGTG